GACCTTCAAGAAAAGAGCTTACACCTTTCTAAAGGGCCGGCAACGCACCTGCAATTCCCCTAGTGTTGCGGTTGATCGTGGGCAGCGGTACTTAACATCAGGTGAGCCGCATGCTCATTTGCCTCCTCTTCTACAAAAAAAATTAATAAGGGTGAAAAATGAGTAAAGAGCCTAAGTAATGGTAAGTGAATGCTGTGCTTAGTTCGCTGTAGCTTATAGAAATCTACATTTATCTTCACTTAAGAACCAAAATGCAGATGCGTTGTCACCAGTTTCCATTTTATTTTATTTTATTTGGAAGACCAACAGCTATCATAATTAGGATAGATAGTATTAATAACAACAGTAAGCCAATTAAGGATCCTCACTAATAGATCCAAAGGTGAATTTAACAACAGTGATAAATACGATTTAACACTCGAAAGTATCCAATACAACATATTTATACCAAATGAGAGCTAAACTTGTATTATACATATAAAGGATAATCAACTCATACTTAGGACAGTCAATAACACTACAAGCTATTTTAAGAGAAAAATAAACACAAATACAAAAGTAAATCATAGTTGTGTAGCAACCCATCAATATCTCACTTAGAGCTACCAAGAAATCCATTGTTAAGTATGCGCCTAGCTGACGCAGCACTAGTGTTAAACAAATCGAAGTTAAACTCATTGGCAAGCTTATTGAAATTATTGCTCGCTCGCCATATAAATGTATTTTGCCTATAATTTGTAGATGAAAACGGGAGACTTAAAATTTTGTTGTATCTAAGAGGTTTCGCAGGACAGCTAACATGTAGTTGAGATAAAAGCTCAGGACAGTCAATAGCACTACAAGCTATTTTTAACAGAAAAGTGAGGTCAGCAATCTCACGACGCATAGCAAGAGGAAGGTGATGTTTTTTACAATAACTAATACAATTATCTGAGGTATAGCTATTGTCATTGGTTCTATAACAGAGGTAACGCAAAATAATAATAATAATAATAATAATTTCTTTATTTGCTTAAAACATGGTGTTTGTAGGTGGTACAGTAAAATAAGTTCACATGTTTTGCTTATAATTAGCATGCAAATTTAAGATTATATTCAGGTAACATTTATTTCAAAGGGGTCAAATATATTCATTAAAGCAATGTCAACAAATCAATAATTATTAAAGCTTAATGTCAATAAATTTTTCAATGTCGTACACTTTGAGTTCAATAAGCCACTTATAGAGTCTCGATTTGAATAAATTCATTTTGAGGTTTTTGATGTCCTTGGGGATCTTATTATACACCTTAACACACATTGCTAAACAACTTTTTCTGAATTTAGCAGATCTTGGAATGACCCTTAATACTAATCGCTCCGGATTTCTTTTCCATCGTGAGTTTATATCTCTGGCTTTCTGAAAGAGCTCAGTATGGCGTTTTACAAAACAACTCATTTCAAAGATGTACAGTGCTGGCAAAGGAAGTAAGCCCAGGCTCCAAAACGCTGCTCTACAGGACTCGCCCGGTGGAATCCCACATACGGCTCTGATGCATTTTTTTTGCGCTATAAATACCCTTTGTCTCTCAGTACTATTGCCCCATATCATCACACCATAACGTAGAATGGAGGCTACATACGCGTGGTAAGTGTTAATGGCTGTTTGCAAGTTAGTTACGCTCCTTGTTTTATAAAGAGCATAAACAAAGCTGTTATTACGCTTGCATAAGGCCTCAATGTGTAATTTCCAGTTAAGATCTTGGTCTATCGTTATACCTAAGAACTTAGTATGTGTAATTTCTTTAATCTATTCAATATCAATGTTAAAATTGTATTTATCATATTTGGATTTATTAAATTGAATGAAATTTGATTTATCTAAATTTAATTTTAGATTATTTTCCTCTAGCCATTTAATAATGTTGTCAATAGTATTATTAATCTCAATTTCGTGGTCATGTATTGAATTGCATTTATTTTTTTCTGATGTCACAATTATTGATATGTCATCGGCAAACAAGATACATTTATGACCAGTACCTTTGGTTATGTCATTTATGTACAATATAAACATAAGTGGACCTAGGACACTTCCCTGAGGGATACCACACGAGTTATTTTTTAGGGTATAAGAACATGTCAACAGTTCGCTATTTATGATTTTGTTAACAGTGACGCGCTGACATCGATTCTTTAAGTAGGATGATAGCCACTGTAGTGTAGGTCCTCTCATACCAATCGTTTCAGGTTTATTTAATAAGAGGTCTTGGTCTACAAAATCAAATGCCTTGGACAAGTCAAAAAATAGACATGTTGTTAGATAACCTTCATTCAATTTTGTGAGTGTTGTTTTTACAAGAGTAAATGTTGCTAAAGTTGTCGACTTATCTTTTTGGAAACCGAATTGATCCTTACTAATGATGTTGTATGTGTTGCAATAATTAAGTATTCTCAGGTGCATACATTTCTCAAACACCTTCGATAGAATAGGTATAAGAGTAATTGGGCGATAATTGTTGACGTCATTTTTTTACCCTTTTTGTACAATGGTTTGACGACTGATTGTTTTAATGCTTCCGGAAACGTACCAGATGAAAATGATAGATTAATTAAATACGTCAATAGGCACTAGTTCATCAATACACATTTTAATTATTCTGGTACTGATTCCATCAAAGCCTTCTGAGTTGGTGTTGTTCAAACCCATAATTTCTTTTTTTACTTCTTCTTTTGAAGTCGGAAGAAGAAACATCGTGTTTGGTATAAGTTTGCTTTTAGCAGTTGTTTTTTGTATATTATCTGTCGTCAGGTTTTTTGTATTTGTCAATTCAATAAAATTTTCATTAAAAGCTGAGGCTATGTCAAAAGGATTTGTCAATTGTTTTTTTATTTAAACTTATTTCACTTATAATATTGTCACATTTTAAACCACCAATTTCCTTTTTTATTACATTCCATGTCGCTTTGCATTTGTTTTTACTTTTATATATATATTTTATGTGTGAATTCCTTTTGGAGGTATTAATACATTTTTTTAATACTTTCGAGTAATTTATATATTTGATTTTATTGATTGCTGTTTTATTTTTATAATATTTATACCTTAGTGACCGTTTAGTTTTACAGCTTGTTCTTAGGCCTTTGGTAATCCAATTTTGTGTGTTCCTATGATTGTTGTTAACTTTAATTTTAATTAAAGGAAAACACAGATTATAAAACATGCACAGTAGTTCATGAAACTTGTTGAAGGCAGAGTTTAGACTCATATCTGCGTATATATCAGACCAAGTTATGCTTTTTAGGCACTCCCTGAATTTGAAATATTTTCGCAACTGTAGTCCTTTCTAAGTACTGTGTATGTTTTTGGTTTTTCATTTTTTCTTTACACAGGGAAACACAATAATTGAGCTGTATCGTGGTCGGATAAGTATAAAGGTAATACCGTAGCGTTAGCGTCTATAATGTTACTTAGCATGTGGTCTATGTATGAGTTTTTGCGTGTTGGTACCTTAATATGTATTTTTAGGTTATGATTTAGACATATATCTTGGAGGTAATTTGATATTTTTCCTTTTTTTCAGCGTATCGATGTTAAAATCGCCCGTCACAACAACTTTTGTATCAGACTTACGGTTTCTTAATAATTCATGCAATAGTAGGTCTAATTTGTTTAAAAAAATATTTGGATCAGATGTAGGTATTCTATAAACGCATACAACCACTAATTTATGTAGAGACATCTCTATTCCACAGACTTCAAAGCTCTTTTTGTGTTGCGTACTTTTTTAGTTTTGACATTTCTTTGTAGGTACTATTTTGTTTGGCTAAGATACAGATTCCTCCCCTCAGTTTATCTCGACAAAACGTTGTTGCTAACTCATAATTATGAATATCTACCAGCTTGCAGAAAAGTTTCAGACAAACATATTAGATCTGGTTCATTCTTCATTTTTTTCAGTTCTTGTAATGTTATTTCTAGTAATTCCTGCTTTGCCATGACACTTGCAATGTTTTGGTGCAAAATTTTAAAAGTTTTATTAATGTGAGTCACAAAAAAAATGGCTTATCTATTTTTTTTTAAATAACGCAGTAAGGTACTTTGAGTTAAACGCATTGGCCTATTGGCATTAGATCCACTAATAGAGGTATTAGCCCCCCGATCGAGTCCTGGAAAAATAGTATGGGATTGTTCCCTTTGGATACTGTACCATTTTAGAGGGAACTTTTTCAGGCGCTGGCTTACTACGTGCTATTATTTTTTTCAATTGTTTGGGATTGAGATATTCATTTTCGTAGTCAATGCAATCTGTTACATAATTAATCGAATTACATATTTGAAAAGGATTCCTGTGTTTACACTCCACGAAATGACATTTTTGATTTTCATTACAAATTCTCTTTAAAGTTTTATTTATGTCAGTCACACTTAGGTACATATTTGTCAATAAATTTAATACAATTATGTCATTATCAGGAAAATATTTAAGAGACCGTCGTAGCTGTGATGATAGTATTTTAATATCATAGTCGTTTTCGCCAATGCAGATTATAACTTTGTCTTTTGGTTTTACATTTACGTTTTGAATATTTATGATAAAATCTGAAGACGGTGCATATGGTTTTGTTATTGCTGTGATAGCGTATTTCACGTATGGCGTGTTCGCTCGAGACTGAATTAGGGCGGAGGCGAGACCGGTACAGCGCTGGGTTCCTATGATGTATAACCGGTTCTCGTCCTCTCTATTTTTTAGCGCATACTAAGCTCGTGGATTTAGTCTGTAAAGTCATTTGTGTGTTGTCTAAGGCTGTTGTCAATTTCTGTTCCAGAGTATTTATATATTTTTTTAGACATATTACCAGGTTTTCAGTATATTTAAGCTGTTTCTCTAAGTCTTTAATTTTTAGTTGGTGTGCCATGGGTGTGGTGTTTGTATGAGCTGTTTTTTATATGCCGGAGAAACAAAACCAGTGTGAGAGTGAGAAGTGAGAGAAGAAGATAATACTGACTGTAGTTTGGCTCATCTATTTCGTTTTTCGGAGCTCTGGCTTGTTTGGCTAACGTTATGTGAAGATTGGCATAAGGCTGTCAACGTCTTATTTTCCTTTGTCAATTTGATTATTTTCTGTCGGAGATTGTTATTTTCTAATGTTATGTTATCTAATTCATTCTGTGGTATGTTATATTCCGTTCGGAGTCGGTTCATTGTGTCCTTCATTTCCTGTATTGCAATAGAGTCGGTTATAGTTTGGTCCAAACTTTTTGAAAGTGGTTTACGAAAGGAAACCAAAAGCTCACTCAGATCGTGGGAGGTAGTCAGCACATGTGAGTCATTAGGTTCGTTGGAATCGTGGGATAAAGTTAGTACTTGTGAGTCGTCTATTTGATTTATTGGTGAGGCATTCAGTTGAGCAATGCTTGTATGCATTGTTTGTGAATCGTCCAGATGTACTAACACACTTGCAGGCGCCATTTCTGAAGGTTCCGTCTCAGTCGGCATAAAAATTGCACTAGAAGTAGAAGGGCTTTCGTAGGATTTCTTAGCTATTTTATATTTCCTTGTGGTTACGTGGGATAAAGAGGAGTAAGGTGTCAAAGTCTCTTTTGATTTTTGGCTACAGTCTTTGCACTTTCATTTACTTTTAGCTGCTGCATCTTTTAAGCGGTATAGTCTCTCCGAGTATCCGATGCAATCAAATTCAAAGTTATTCCTGCATAGCGAGCATAACATTGTATTTTTTGGGTCAACCTTGCGCTTACATTTGGAAAATGTAACTTGTAGTGTCATCTTACGGTCATTATCTGTATTTTTTAAATTGGGTTTTGTCATTTTGTCAATGAGAATCTATACAATGCGTTTAATTCAGTAATGTATTACTAGATGTCGTTACTATATCAGGGGCGACAGACAGTTGACGCTTATTCAGGGTATTTCTTGTATGGAAAGCAGCGGCAGCTAGTGACGAGTAGACATGTTTTTTTTTTTTTTTTTTTTTTTTGCGCCCGAAGCAATTAAAGGGCTACCCTGTACGTAGGGGAGGCGGAAAATGCATTACGCATACCACGATAGCCGCTCTATCGTGGTTATGGGGGACTCACTGTCCTACCGGGGACCCTAAGTGATACCCCCTAAAAACCGCCTTTAGGGACAGGCAACCGGCTGATTAAGCTCTATTGTGCCTTATCATGAGCGACCCTCTTTTGGGAAAAGAGGGCGCAGGCGGCTAAGTGCCGCTGAGGGAGTGCCTACGAAGGCAAATTAATGTCAGATATTACAATAATTTTATTCAATTAGAGTTGGCCTGAGCCGCCAGAAGACAGTTCAGGTCGTTTGAAAGTTTATTAGGCGGGTCCGAGAGAGAGGTTCTCGGCCTGCGGACACGATAGCGAGAGGGGGGTGGGGCTGCATAAGAAGCTGCCTCACGAATTAAATGGTTTGGGTGCGACTCTGAGGCTTTGAAGAAGTTCCCAGAGAGTTTTTTAAGAAATTGTTGAATTGTTGGGAGCTCTAAGTCCCGATGAAGGTCGGCGTTACGAACGTACCACGGTGCGTTCGCAGCTCGACGACAGAATAGGTTCTGAACTATTTGGAGTTCATTTAAAATGTTAGGGTTTGCGTGGGCAAAGACGGGGCCCGCGTAGGACATGACTGGTCGTATACATACCTTGTAGAGTGTACGCTTGTTTCGAAGGGACATTTTACTGTGTCGGCCCAACATACTGTTGAGCCTACTCAGATAAAATCGTGCGTGACGGGTTACTCTTTTGACGTGGGGCTTGAAAGTAAGCCCTGTGTCTAGAGTGACACCTAAATATTTGGCGGACGTATGCCAGGGGACAGGGGTCCCTAGCATACGTATTGGAGGAGTGTTTTTGAGACGGCGTCGTTTATAATCGAAGTGAACGGCGGAGCTCTTCTCCGGGTTCACATCGATGCGCCATTTTTTGAACCAAGCTCCTAGGTCATCAACTGACTTTTGGATCTTGTTCCGTATGAAGGGTAGTGAGACACCTTTGCAGTAGATGGCAGTGTCGTCTGCAAAGAGGGAGAGTTGAACACCTTTCGACGGGATGGGAATGTCGTTGGTGAACAGGATGTACAGCAGAGGAGCAAGTACTGAGCCCTGGGGGACACCAGCCTTGATAGTTCGCTGTGAAGAGAGCGTGCCTTCGTGTCTGAAACGAAAGGTACGATGTTTTAAATAGGAGGCCACGAGACGAACTAGACGATCGGGGAGACCTATTTTATAGAGCTTGTAGATGAGGCCTGTGTGCCAGACTCTATCGAATGCTTTGGCTATATCGAAAAAGACCGCGATGGTCTTATGACGACGAGGATAGAAACCGCTGAGGATATATTCCACAATGCGGTGAACTTGTTGGGGACATGAGTGTTTGGCTCGGAAGCCGAATTGATGGGGAATGATAAGAGGGTCGCCGTCTGTGGGAAACAGGTAGCGCCTCATTCGACTTTGGATGACTCTTTCGAAGAGCTTGCCCATTGCCTTGAGGAGGCTAATGGGGCGATGGCTGGAGGGGGAGGTTGAGAGGCTTGCCTGGCTTGGGAATTCCAATCACAGTAGCCTCTTTCCACGTAGTGGGAAAATAACTAAGGTTGAAGCAGGCGTTGAAGATAATAGATAAAAATTTAGGGCTTGGTTGGAGATGCCATCCGCGCCCGGAGCCTTTTAGGCTTAAGTCCTTTGATGAGGGATGAGATCTCATCATTGGACACAGAGATAGGTTCGGAGGCCGTGGGGGGTGAGCTCCGGCGGTGGACCTCATCCTCCACTGCCTGGACGTGTGAGGGGTCGACGGGTTGAGAACTGGGAGAGCATTGAGCGGCAATGCTATCTGCAAAGCACTCAGCCTTTTCCTCGTCCTCGAAAGCAACCGTGCCGTCGGGACGGGAGAGAGGGGGAGTGTGGGTGATAGCGTCTATGCGGAGGGCTCTAGCCATCTGATAGTACGCTGTGTGAGATGGAGAGATATTCTCCATGAGCTTACTCTTTTCGAGGTCTCGAAATACAGAGAGGCGGAAGCGGAGTTCTCGTTGAAGACGATTGGCCGCGCGCCTATATTCGGGGGTGGGATATTTTGCTGCTCTCCGGAAAGCAGCTTTTTTGGCTTTTATTAGGTTGCTAATATGTAGGGGAAGCCCACTATTGTTAGCAACCGGGACGACCCTTTCGTTCTCCTTAAGGGAGGATTTAATAAGGGTGGAGAGTGAGTCGACCGCAGTGTCGATTTTTTCGGGACTATCTAAGTCCGATGGTAGGGAGATGGTAGAGTCCTGTGAGTCCAAAGCTTTAGCTAGGGACTCCTTGAATCCCTTCCAGTTAGTGAAGGTTTTCGTGTGTGTTGGGGGAGGTGGCTGATGGCCAAGAATGAGGGAGACCGGTCGGTGATCTGATCCTAGATCGTCTAGTGTCTCGATTGCTTCGAGGTTGAGAGAAACTCCTTGGAGTAACGCAAAATCTAACACATCGGGGGGCGTGATCGGTGTTATCGGGAAAGTGAGTAACACCGAGAGGACTATGGACGGTAATATCAAGAGACTGCGTGATATCGAGCAGTATCTTGCCACTAGGGGGACGTAGTGCGGCATGTCCATTCAGTATGCTTGGAGTTAAAATCTCCAAACATAATGACTGAATTGCCTAAAGATAAAATGGCCTCAAAATCCTTTTTAAGGGGATAGGTTCCTGAAGGGATGTAACAGGAGGCTATGAGGATGGACTGATGTCCAGTCATAGCTAGCCTGCATACCGTGGCTTCCATGTTGGTAAGCTGCGGAGTAGAAATGGGCGAGCAATGAAGTGTCTTCTTGTAATAGATGGCCGTTCCGCCGCCTCGGCGGTCGGGTCTGTCGTTACGAAGAAGAGAGAAGTTTTTAATAGAAAGGCCTCTAGTGTCCTTATCTTTGAGATTGGTTTCCTGTAGGAGGAGGAAATCGACTTCACGATTCCGAAGAAAGAACTTGAGCTCTGGGAGGTTATTTCGCAAGCCGCGAATATTAAATGATACAAGCGATAAACCCTTAGGTTTGATACGACCGTGAGATCTAGGTAGGTTAGTTTGCTCAGGCATTGGAGTTAAGTTAATTACGCTAACTTAACTTACAACGCTAGTAGAAGATCGTTATGTTCGGCAAGAGCGAGTAGACGCTCTTGGGGGGACTTCGCCGCGCGCAGTTTGCGTGCTATTACTGTAATCTCTCTAACATCTATATTCCTAATCGCGGAGTATAGCGTGTTGTAGTCGTCTGTTGTGGGCTCTGCCTCGTGTGCGTACGAGGTTGTGCGCGGAGGGTCTGCCTTTTTGGGCCCCCAGGAAAAGACTGGAGGCTGCATTGGCTTTGAGAAGCCCGGAGGGGGCCGAATTATGCCCTGAGGGGGGCCTAGGGGGACCCTGAGGGGGCCTAGGGGGACCCTGAGGGGGCCTAGGGGGACCTTGAGAGGGTCGAGAGAAGCCCTGGATAGGCTGAGAGGGGCCCTGACGGAGCCGTTGATGGAGGGCCGGGAAAGTGCGGTCATTCACCGGCGGTGGAGCTTTCCTACTGGGGCGAGGTTGAGGTGCGCGTGGGCAACCCTTGTAGTTCGCCGGGTGTCCTGTCTGGTTGCACAGGACACAGGCGGGCGGGGATTCGGCGTCTTTGGGCCGGGGACACTCTTTAGTGTTGTGTGGCTCCAGGCACTTCACGCACCTGGGTGGGGCGGAGCAGTTGGCCGCCGCGTGACCATAAAGTTGGCAGCGGTGGCATTGCGCCGGGAAACCGGGCCTATGTGGGGGCTCTACCTTCACCCTTGACAGGCCGCACACTGTGCGCACCTGCCGGAAGATGGCTTTAGCCTCCGGCACGTTGGACAAGATTACTAGGGCAAGGTTGTATCTCTTGCCCGTACGGTTGTGCATTTTGTGCACTGCTTCCACTGGGAAACCTTGGGACTTAAGGTCCTCGAGGATTTCCTCGTTGGAGAACTCAAAGGGAACGCCTCGGATGACGGCCCTGACTTTACGCTCTTCAGGGAGAGCGTAAGTGTGGTATGAGATGCGCTCGGCTGTGAATAGCCGGGTGATTGCGCGGAAGTCCTCGATCGAGGTAGGGATTATTTTGATTGCCTCCTCGAGGTTGACTGCATGATCGTATTTGATGCCTGCGTCGTAGCAGGTCTTAGACAGTTGAGTGAACTTTGCCTTGTCTCTTAGGAAGACAGGGGCGGGACTTGCTTCTTCGCCAGCACTGGAGCACAACGAGAGGCTGGTTTAGATGGAGTGGGGATGTCTAGTGACATCAGTGGGACGGGTGCAGCGTCAAGGGCTGCGGAGGTTGAAGGAGCGGCAGGGTGCGTTTCAACGCGGCGCGCTTTCCGTTGCGCTTGGAGGTGACGGTGGTGAAGTTTGACTCACCGGTTCCGTCGGAGTCAGAGGACTCCGATGAACCGGAGCCGGAGGTAGTGGCGCGCCTCTTCC